ACATGTTTTATATCCATTTTAATACCACAGTAATAAAGTATCAGCTTACTAAAGCTTATTCACACGAATACCAAATATACAGTTTATTAAAAAAATAAAAATGATCAACGTACTTTTCTGTAATCTCAGTTTTTAACACTACTGTAAGTAACATTAGTCACTAAGTTAATCGTATATGTATAAATTAATAACTACAAACAGATGACTCTAAATATAACTACAGCAGCTGCTAGCATGTGGCTTTAAATCCAAACATGTTATTATAATCAGCTGTTCTGAGCCAACATGGATCATGAGGCAAGCGAAAGGTGGCTGAAGCTGGCAGCTGGAACTTCTTTGTCTTTATCCATGGGTAAAACAGAAAGTGCAGATTCCCAGCAGGCAGCAGTCTGCCACCTACTGGCAGCTACCAGACGATAACATGACCTCTGCTGTAGAATATGGTGTTCTTGGGTATTTTGGAAAGCGCTGGCTTAGTCGTTACAGTTATTATCAGCCGTCATGTTGTTGTTCAACATGTAGTTATTGTGTTTGTAGTTGTACATGCAGAGTAAAAGAACATATTGTTTAGCAGTTTTACTCTAGAGGGAAACGAGAACCAGAAACAACGCTCCTCACATGCACAGCGCCGATGCACATCTCACCACGTATGGTGCTGAAAACAGACCACATGCTGCTGGTGACTAACCACTTATACATGAGAAAATCCATCTGACGTTAGAATGCACACATATTTAAAAAGATAAATGTCGATCGGAAATGATGGCGAAGCGTCGGCCGCTGCCTTCAGAGCTGCTCATCAGCGTCACTTCTTCTCCTGCCACTCCAGAAGCGAGGGGGCTGATTCATTCTGCTGCCTTCTTTGTAGACACACAAATTATATTACTATCTTTTCAGCGTTAATGATGCCCTACTCTGGGAGACATCAAACTGAATGTGGACCTAATTAAAAACATGAACAAGAGAAGACTGATATATCTGAGAGCAATTAGAAAAAATCCTTTTTCCTGTGGGTTACTGAGGACTGCAGAGTTTACTATGAACATTAAACTAGCTCTCAAATAACGGCTAGCATTACCCGTGGTTGTAAATCACTGTTGGTATCTACCATTATTGCACCCGATGTGGTGATTTTTGTGAATTTTATCATGAAGGTCACAACAACGATTCATTAATGCTGCGTCAGCATAATCCAACGCTAACGTGGTCGCCTGAACAGTCGTAGGAACACCGCGTTTATCTACCAAACCCGTTCTTGTTCACACGCACTCACAGGGGAAGAGCGACACACTGCATC